CACCGAAAACTAGCATATTCGTTTGTCTTGTTTCAGATATCGAGTTGTTTGACAATTAGGGCGGGGGCATTGGCGTTACTGTCTCCGATTTAATACTCCGGTGTGCGCTCGGCACAGCGTGTGTTGACCTCATCGCTGACAAAGCCTAAGTGGGCGTATACATGTTCAGAATGGAACTTAGTGCGTGTGATTAGGACGCACAACCGAATAACAAAATTACTGCTTTCTTTATTCGTATATCGTAAGAACACCACAGGAATGGTATGGAGCGGTTTTTGTCATATGTCAAGTGTACTAGTCAGAAGGGAATTTGTGATGGATGAAGCTGCGGGATCGGGGGAGAGAACTGGCAACAGCAGTCGACCGGCGTATAATTCGCAATCCAAAGGTCACCAGTTCGAATCTGCGCGCAAATGCAGACGACCACCTCGCAGTGTACCCGGGGCACACGCAACTGGTAGCAGTTGCATGGCAGCGAGAGGTCAATGTGGTGTACCCGCGCACCCCTGATGTCTGGTCGTCTAGGTCACGGTGAACATGGAATCTAGAGAAACCTCCCGGCTGGCTCTGAGCACAATGTGACTAGACGGGCAATTAGGCGCGAACTAAAGCGGAGCCTAAGTGCTGACGAGGAAGTTTGGGGGACCATTCGGACTCAAGAAATGAAGGAGGCAGGATCGGTAGGCAATTACCGCAAGCTCCTCCAACTGATATGCACCAGTGGCGCATCTGTTGCCGTCTGCTAATCGGAGTGTCTGTGTAAAGTGTGTTTGGTGCTAAGTTATCTGCAAGGTAATGGCTGATTATGACGCGGGGCAATGAAAGCCGCAAGGAAGCTGTCTCGCCGATGCCGCCTTATCTTTGCACGATAGCCAGCTGTTTGTGACGGTATGTTGTTAACACAAGGTGTAGGTGCCTTGACCATGAATGTTCGTTTAGGGCATTAAGGTTTTCAGGTAAGTCCCCCTTTTCTCTCTCTTATTATTTTTTTATTTAATAGGTCACCATGGTTGTATGGCAGCGAAGCATCCGTTCAAATGGCTGATGTATTGCTGTTGATGATGAGGTCACGGAATACTTCGAATGGTAGATGGGCAGTTCGATAGGTGACATCAACAGGACAATTTCACCTGAATATGATGACGCAATCTCGTTGAACATAATAAACGAAAGACTTGGCGAGCAAGCAGCTTATCATTCACCACTGGGCTTGCCTAATCAGTATCCATCGGCAAGAGACATGCTGGAGATTGATAGTTGCGGTCTGAAGGACAGCTAGACCCAGTGATTTGTATATGATAGTATTTAATGAACGAGATTTTGTTGCTATTCAAGCTGTCCAGTTTAGCAGTCAGCACCAGCCCCGATGACGCCATCGGCATAACCCGAAAAGTGTCTCCAACATAGATGGGTTGCGTTATAAAGGACAATCGAATTAACTGGGTGCTTCATTATCCAAACACGTGAGTGTCGCGGCAGGGATGGTTTACAGTAAAGATAGAGGTCGATGAATATGATAACTTTTGACGAGTAACAAGCAAACATGGATCAGTTATCCCAGCTCCCTTTTAATTCCGTTACAGAATCAAATATAAGAAACAACAGTGTATCCTCAGGAGATTGTTCGAATACAGGTACGCGAATGGCGCTATCCTGTTATCATGCATGCCCATGTTTGTTCGGCTTCCGTAACAAAACTGCCTAGTGTAACAACATCTCTCGGATTCATGATAAAGACAGCAATTTCAACGATAGGTTCGCCTTGAAATTAAAAGTTGTTTCAATCATTGCGAATCTGTGATACTCACAATGGGAAAATTTCTTCAAGATGAGTGGCAAACGCAGTGAAGATATGTCGACAATGCAGGACAGTCAAGCGTCGCTGAACGGTGTGTCGAATTCCCCAGATTTCACTGAATTCCATAGGAAGTGGTAAGTGGTCTGCCAGGTCAAACTGTTTAGCCTAGCGAATCGCAGTGTTCGATCATGTATTGTGTGCGTACGTTCATCGTTTACACCTTATCTATCCATCTTATAAGAGCATAATCTGAATATGCTAGAATGCGATAAAGAAACAGAATAAAAGCGACAAACTGTGGTATTGATACCGCAAATTTATCATACAGCTCAAAGCAAGATGCAAGCTGCCTGCCGCGTGTGGGTTGAGATGCACTGAGTAATCCTTGCTTGAGATCAGTGCGAGCTCACCAAGTGATCTTTGAAATTGTGATGTTTCATAGAGCGGGGCAATCAACAGTGAATATTCATCGGACATGTCTTGTGTTCGCCTTTTTGACCCTAAATTGCATAAATTACACAGAGCGACAACATTCTAAAGCTGTTTTGAAAACATCAATAGGTCGTTATTGCGAACCAGTAACTGACGCAGGTAGAAAACTACATCAGCATCAGCCATAGCAAATATGGTATGCAATCTCAAATGAATGCATCCACATGTTAAGTCTCATTCGCTATCCTCTGGGTTCGAGTGTGACAGTGAAGTATCACTGTGGACTTCTGGTACACTACCGATATGTTCCTCTCTTATCTATGATTCACAGTGGAGCCCAGAATAAGTGAGACGAAAGTCACGAGTTGATGAGTACTTTTGACACGGAAACAACGGAAGGAGACGGGTGGCAGCATATCTTATGCAAAATATGATTAGAAGACCTGGTATCTTCGCCTCATCCTAACGGACTCAATGGGGTCCCATATATGTGAGACACTGCGCGAACGCCGAAGCTGAGTCATAGGCCTATATATGATAGTAGCTGATACCAAACTGTTTAATTTCGATGATGAGCAGATCGCTGATCCGGACGGGCAGAGTCCCCTGTAAGCTGAAACAAAAGAGAATAGACTCGGAATATGTGGTTCGTCGACTTGAGAGTGGGACAGCAAACTAAAGGGTTCAATTGAGGGTGTTAACAATCAGACTGCAAAGGTGAAACCGCAAATAAGAACGCGGTCCACATATAGAGAAGCGCAAAGGACTGCGAATCGATCATGAAGAAACAATGGTGTCCTTCAACGTTAGTGCACTGTTCACTTCTGTCAACTTACAAATGGCGAAAGAAACATCAAAGAACGCCTGAATGTTGGCGGAGGAATAATTTGGAACCTGACGACTGAGTGTGTGCGAGCTTTTCGACCTGTGTCTCACGACGCACTTAAACTTTTATGGAACATTCTATGAACAAGTGAAAGGAGCCCCTATGGGGTCCCCTAAACCTACATATTGCAGAGATTGTCATGCAAAGGTTAGGGGAAAATTTACTCCGTCTTGAACCCGTAAGTAGGGGCCAAATACGTTAACGACACGCTCGTGGTACACAAATGCAGCCAGTTGCAGAACGCACAAGGCTCGCTGAACGATGCAATAGACGACATTCACTTCACCATGAAGTCAGAAATGGAAAAGAAACTCTTCCTTGGACGTACTGGTTACTAGAACAGCGGAAAGGGAACTACGAATATCAGTTCACAGGAAAGACATGCACACAGATCAAATCATGATTGCAACAGTAACCAACCAAAAGCAGCTGCATACAAACCCTGTTTCGCAGGATAGAGTCAGTGTAATATTGAGGAAACGAAACGGAAATCCGTATGTTTACATCCTTCATCCGCAACGGATATCCACAAAATTTCATCCGAAGATAAATAAACTGCAAGACTACAAATGCCACATCTGAACCAACAACGAAACGGATCGCTTTACCGTACATCAAGAAGGTATGGAAATGACTGCTCGACTCTTCAGGCCCCACCAACTGTTGTTAGCTCACATACCAACCGCTAGTCTGAAAGGAACTCTATCTAGACCGAAAAGGAAAACGAGAGCACATAAACATCGGAATGTTGTTAACATGAAACAGTGTAAACATTGTGATAAACACAATGTGGGCCAAACAGGAAGAAAATTATCTACAAGGTTACAAGAAGACAAGCGAGCCTATCGAAACCATTACTCAGCATCACTGGTCTCGACACCAGTTGACGAAGAACGGCACATGTTTGCTTTGGAGAAAATAGAGGTCCTAGCGCAGGGGATGACAAGGAAGAAAATATCTCGAAGCATAGTTCTCTATGGAGAATTCAATAAACCTGCGCATTGACAGACCCAATCCACCATCAACTGCGAAAAAAAATTTAAGGCGGGTCATTTACCACATGAGTCTAAAAATGGCGGCGATTGAACGGCAAACTTGTAATGAGCACGTGACGTGAATCGAGGTGGTTAATTTCAAAAATCACTTACTTGTCCGTTAAGGGTAGACGAGACACTCGGTTTGCCTAATGCGCACTGACGAAGTCACTTCGATTGGTGACAAAACGTCGGGCAATAAAATAGTTCAACTCGGAGAATAGATCTAGAGCTGAACAGTCAACCCGAGCACAGGTATTACGCTTTATTAGTAACTAGTATTCGTGCTTCAGCAACGATAGTTTCAGACGAACCGCATTATTTGTAGAATACAGCAAAAAAGAAGCATAGGCGGAACAAACTGTCAGACATTCGTCCCACTTATCTAACCATAGTGCTTCGAGTTGTATCGGACTATGTGGCAGGCTCATGTGAGAAAGCGAGGAAAAAGCACCCTGACACAGTACGATGTTGGACAACTTAATCAATGACGGCCTACGCAGTTAGTTCCCCACGAGACGATCAGTCTGAGGATACACAGGCAATCATCACGGCTTCCGTACAAAGATCGTTAGTAATGAAAGCATGCCCAAAAAATCACGTGGCCTCTGGACAGTATCAACAAGCTCAGGAGTACCCCAGATCACGATATGAATTGTCATTAGTAATGAACGGCCGGACAAACGCAAACAGCAGCAAAATTTCTGGCTGCTGAAGCAACGAAAAAGCTGACCTACACACATCGCTTTACTTTTCAAGGAAGATCAGTTATGCGACTCGCAGGCGCTGGTGTTAACGTTGTCGACATGTCGTGGATATTGCATTCCAATTCCTCCTATTTGCCATTAAATGTGAATACAGTGGGCGCACTGGAATTACACCTCGGCGCCTTGTACTGACGCTTGGCTACCACACAACCACTGGGGTCATGCGGTCGCCCACGCAGGATCAAATCTGTGATGTGTGGACTACTAGCCGGACGCTTGAACAATTCGCTCACCGGTTGATCACAAAGCCAACTCAATAGCGTTCACATGTGAAATCTCATGAAAAATCAATTCAACGAAAACAGTGGATGCAACAACCTCAGACAGGCAAGCGGCACTCGTGATGATCAAGGAAACGCGTTTGTTGCAGAGATAAGATTAAATGGAACTTCCAGCAACCAAATGTAGGTCAAAAAACAGCCGTAAAACCCATATACAGTGTCAATAAACCTGCAGTGACTTATAGGATGAGTACCGAGGTATGTGATGTTGTACACAATCATAGTAGAAAGCAGTCACTGCATAGTAACAACGTCATTATGCATCAATTCTTTGTTGCTGCTTTTTAGACAGTTCAATAAGCCGATCCTCCGCAGTGACCTCTTTAATGGGAGGCTGAGACAGTTCGTCAAGCTTTTGGACAATTTCTTCAGGAGTAAGCAGCCGTGTGCCGTTTGTCTGATCGTGATAAAAGGGATGCCACATTCCTTGGATTGAAGGGAATTTTGTAGACCATTTTTTGTATATTGGCAAAATATCCAAACCAGATCGGTTACGTAGCAACTCCATCCAATTATACACTTCGTCACAATCCATCATGGAAGCCTGCACATATTGCCAGTTACCACAAACTAAAATACAAACAAATTCACGTTAAACTGTTCAAATGGCAGACACTTACGATACTCTGCGACAATCAGCGGTGGTCTTCGACGTCTTGGCTTCACGTAAACCACTGTAGCAGGATTTCGCCGTGCGAAGTCCACCAAGTGTTTTTCAATGTAATCCCTGAAAATTGCCTTAATTATCACGAACAGCAAGATACCTGACGCCAACGGTATCAGGACGTGCTTTGCAAAATTTGATGGTCACCCTTTGGAGTTGCGGTATGTATCTACCCAGCCCGTTTGTACTAACTGCTTGAAGGAGTGCTCTTGGAATAACATTACCAGACATTCCTGCGGGAAAATGTACGACAGTTTTAGATAGAGATGCACAGAGGTAAAGCGATTACGGAGGTAAGTGCTTATTAAGAGGTGTATATACTAAGGCTGATGTTGCATTCATGATGTTTCTTCAACGCAGTTGGACTAAACCAACTTACACTTAAACTAGGTCTCTTTAATGTGGATAAAATGCATTACATTTTATTTGGTTTGCTCTGCGTACTTGACAATTTTCTCCCAACTTGCACACGTCGCTCATGCAAATGTGGTAAATTTGCGTAATTTTATCGCGTGGCATGTTTTAAATAACTCGGACATTTTGTACTTACCACGGATTCACATTTAACCAATTTCTTCCACGTGCTCATTTTACGAGTATTTATGTCGTCATATACGTTTACTTTATTCCATATAGACATTTTGAATGATTGGCTATTGTTTGACATCCCAGGTGTGGCTGCGTTTGATGTGCATGTTGACAAGGTGCCTACCTGTCTATTACCCACTACCTCGTACATACTGGCTCCAGGAAACAGTTGGTCGTTGCTGGAGGGGACGGGGTGTACGGTCCTTGTGGCCGTGTTAGGCTCGAAGAGTGGTTCCATGCATCAATTGTTCATTTGTTCTCCGAGCTTGGCGGTTTTCTCGCAAACGTTTCACCACCATGCGAGGTGGCATCCTCAGTGCAGTGAAATGTAGCGTGCGAGCTTACTAAATGAATCCTCCATCCATGATCGACCTGCAGGTGACTTTGAACGTGGCAGTGTCGATTTAGGTCCCGTGTGGAGCGGACTACGGTCCAGCCACCGCCTTGTGTGCGCTTGATTCCCCAAATACAGTGTGCTTGTGTTTGCCTCTGAAGGAGTGTGGGCCGGCTCCGTTGATGAAATGTGGCTCCCATCCACATGCCTCCCGGTCTTATTCCTTCGGGTTTACACTGGATATGGGGTGCGTGTGGGTGGAACTGTGGATGGTACAGCGCAAGCCAACCATGGTCCCTCTGTAGGTGCAGGCCACAGTGACAGGCAAGTCCGGAAACGGATGACGCCAACCATATGTAGCGACCCAAATGATAGCAGTTCGCTGCGTAAAATATTCCAAAATCATAGCTTCCTTCTGCATCTAGAGTTAGGCAGTCCGCCTGTTGGAACGTGTAACGCATTTGTTTGAGTCAGATAGGCCAAACGCGTGTGGCGCCCTATTCGCTACCGATCATGAACGTCGGCCGGTGGCCGAGTGGTCTGCACGTTTGCTTTGCAACCATAAGGTCACCGGTTCGAATCCGCGTAGGGGCGGGCGTCCTGGCGGTATACTCAGCCCGCGCGCGACTGGTGTTGGTCGCGCGGCAGCGAAGCGCCGTTACGACGTACAGCTGACACATTATTATTATTATTATATATTATTATTATTACATGAACGTCTGTTTAATGCTATTCCCCTCCCCCCCCAAAAAAAACTAGGATAATTGTTGATGCCCTGTGGCTAGTTTGATTATTCGTTCCGGTAATAAAAGTTTATCCATCTTCTCGCGTTCCGTCTAAGATCGGTCGAACCTGAACAAATAGCGAGTGATTCTCGTTCTATGGGTTCACCTCATGCATCACAGCTCAACTCAGTTGATACGTGCACCGAAAGTCGGCGGATCCGGTTGACCTAATTCATTTCATAACAACAACTAAGGCAGGATAGCGACTGAAATAAAGCCATAAGGTGTGCTGCATCCAGGAAAGCTTCAAATCATCGGTGTGACCAATGTCGAGGCTTTTATTCAGGCTACTCAATATTCCGGTCAATTCCTTTTCGTTCTTTTGCCATGTCATGGACTAGCCACCGCAAGGCTCCCGTCAACCCAGTACAAACTTGATGCCGTCCTCACAGACGTGGAGGAAAAGCAGAAGTATCTTGAAGCGCAGAGGGTAACATACTGCTGAAGCTCGTACAACGCTGCTTCAGAGTCAATGTGATTGTTGTGGTTTCCGTTGACTACACGGATAACCTGCTGCTACCGCGCAAGCTGACCGGCCAGCTTCCCAGATTAGAAGACGAAGGCCTCAGGCGAAAACCGTATCGTGCACTCGCCAAGCAAAATAAGCAAATCCAATAAGGGATCGAATCAACAGTTAATAAGGGAATGGCGTAGCGCTCACTGGGGGGCTTCTAGATATTATTATTGTTATTATTATATACACGTTAGCAAGAGGTGGGAAACACCTCAGCTACTGTGCCGCAAAACATTAAAGAAAAAAAAAAATGCAACAGATGCAAGCTAACTGAGCTACCGCTAACGGATGGGCCACGTTCCGGTAAGCTACCAGCCGGCTACTACGCAGCAAAAAAAATTTACTATGCAAAATCATATGAGGCTAAATAGTGAGATCGTGGTTGGAGGGGAGACTAAGAGGGATGGGGTAGGACAAAGAAACTCACAGCACGAACGTCACTGAGGTCGGCTCCTAGCCATATTAGTAAGTGTATCCAGCCAAACGTGTTCATCGTCTTTCGGACCTTAAGCAGGGAGCCGGGACGTTCCAACCGACGCCAGCTTCGAAGTGAGGGCCTTCATTCCTCTCGACTAAGTCATCGGTTGGCAATCCCTCTTCTTCCATCCACAGGCCCGGCGCGCAAAGAACGCATGTTGCGGGAGTCCGTGGGCTGGCATGCGTAACAGGTGGCCGAACCATCGGAGCCTGATGCATGAAATAACGGTGCTGAGCGCTTCATTTCCTTTTCCTGTGCCATAACAAGATGTCGAACACGCTCGTTGCCTACACGGTGTACCTACCAGATGTGAACTAAATTGCGAAGACACCGGTGGTCGAACATAACTAGCCACTTCATATCCGCTGATCTAAGGGGCCAGGTTTCACAACCGTACAGTAAGATCGAACGTACCGCTGCATTGTACACTCTACCCTTAAGGGCGAGAGTGATGTTGCATCGGCGCCATAAGTGCCGAAGGTTAGCAAAAGTGCCTCGAGCTTTTACTATACGGTTCGTGATCTCACCATCAATCCCACGAAAGCTGATACAATTTCCCAAGTAGTTGAATTTTCGAACGCCCTCTAGCTGATCCCCACAAAGGGTCAGCGTAGGAGGCAGTCCAGGTCAATCTTGGAGGAACGCTTTACACTTCGAGGGTGCGAAGGGAAGCCCGAACTGACAGACAGCCAGTGCCGCTTGACACGTTTGTGAGCTGTCACAGGTTAGGGCAATATCGTCTGCATACTCCAAGTCAAGAAGTCGTTCTCCTGGGAGCACATCAACACCTAAGTCGTGTCTTGTAAATGCAATCTCCATGAGTTCATCAATAGCGAAGTTGAAGAGGAAAGATGACAGCGAGCATCCTTGTCTCACACCGCTGGAGATATTAAAGGGCGACGGCACCTTGCCGTAAGCGCTCACTCTGCCTGACCTACGCGCGTATAATGCTCGGATACTATTTACATATTGCTCGGGCACACCTTTCTTGAGTAGACAGTCCCAAAGTGCACGTCTATCCACAGAACCGAATGCACCTTTGATATCGAAGAGCACGACAACGGTGGGCCACCAATATATGTGACGGTGCTCCAACAACTGACGCAAACTGAAGATGTGGTCAATGCAGCCACGGCCTCGACGAAACCCGGCTTGCTCTTCACAAATATGGATTTAACGAGTGCCAGTCTGTGAAGAATAACAGAGGTAAGCAATTTGGAGGCGATGGAAATCAGATTGACTCTTCTATGGTTGTCGCATTCAGATCGTGAGCCTCCCTTGAAAACTAGGACTATGATGGAGCGGCTCCAGTCGGTTGGGACAGTTTCTCGCTCCCATAGTTTCACAAGTAAATAAATCATCCACAACAGCATGTCCCCTGAATTTGAAGAGCGCTGGAGGAAGACCAGTTGGTCCCGCGGCTTTATTTAACTGCAACCGTCCGATCTCAAGTTCGACTTCTGAGCGAGAGGGTGGATCCAAAGGGACAGCCCACAGAGCGGGGAAATCAGTGGCCGGCGAGAAATCGAACAATTTCGACCGATTAAATTGCCTTTCAAAGTGCTCAGTCCAACGTTCCAAGTGTTTTGAGAAGTTGTGGATAGGCTGCCCACTCTCGTCACGTATAGTTTCACTAACACCAGGTCTCCTGCTGCCCGTTTCCCGTATCAGCCGGAATAACTTCAAGGTGGACCATCCTCATTGGCAGCGTTCAAGGTGAAGCGCCATCATTAGTCTGCTCTCATTTGTGGGACAATAAGCTTCGGCCCTTATCATGGTCAAATGTGTCGACTGCTAGAAAAAGGGTGCCTGACAGTTAACAGTGATAAAACTAGCAATCCCTTACTTGTACAAGGGGGCGAGTACACGACAGAGAATAAACGAACAAACTTGATGACCATCGGTCTATGTATAAACTTTCCACTCAGACACAAGGAATGGGAATGAACCCGTATTTTGTAGACTATCCCCAAAGTATGGTGGCAATTTCTGGCGCAATGAGACATATTCTGTTTTTCGTGTTATGCAACAATTCATGTGCCACGGTGGTGCACATTGCTCAAAAGTGGTGTTGGTTTAGCTTCGGTTACAGACTCCTAACGGTCGCGATATACTTTGTGAGACAAATATTCACAACTTAATGTGCAGAGTTTGGCTCCCGAAGTCAATCTACATCCTTGGTCTGGGCGGCCAAGAAACGATGTTCCCGACCGATGTGTTGATGGTTGACCTACGAAGTCCACACACAGACCGCGCAGCATACAACTGACCTAGTTCCACATTTCATTGCCATCCTTAGTAAACTCCATTTCTAAATCTCCATCAGCGTGCTACCTTGAGCAAACGCTATGGACCAAAAGTGAACAGTTCAGAATCGAGTGCACGCTGCCTAATTATGCTGACTAACCTATGTTACCTCACATCGAATTCCAGTTTGATGCTTCCAATGTTCGAACGCTTGCGCAGATAGGAGCAAATACAACTCTTGAAAGTAGTCTGGCAAGACACCACTGAAGCTAAATAGATAAAGTCCAG